ACCTCAACTATGAGAGACAAAATGGGGGAAAAAATCCAGAAAATCACATATCTCATAGTTGAGATATACCTATGATGAAAATTACAGGCCTCTCTCATCTTTTTAAGTGGGAGAACTTGCACAATTGGTGGCTAAATACTTTTTTGCCCCACTGTACATCATGCACCTGCAAACATACATTTGCTTTCCAATGAAAGCATACAGAATTGTAAATAAAGTTTATATGATTAATATTGTTTAATTACACTGTCCGTGTTCACTGCCACTTTTAATCGCTATTTTGCAGCATACTGTTATTTTTTTTTAAGAGTCTCAGAAAAAATACTCTGCGTATGCTTTGTTAACTTCTGTCCCTTCTCTCACTTCAAACTGAGACAGAGTTGGATATTGGCAGAGTTAAAGAAAGAAGCAGGATTAATACTCTGAAATTACAGCTACTAGTAGATTTCTAATTTGGTTAATGTTAACTGGAAAGGGTGGCGCAGTTCATGCAACCCTTAAGCAGAAAAAACTGCTGGCCTTTGTTAAGGGTTTATATGGGACAAGGGACAAGGGAGTATACTTGTTTATGTTAATGATCCAGGATGGTTTAATACAGTTCAGGAATACCCCAAACCAGAGAGGTTCTGATTCAACCCTGGAACGGACGCCTGACTCATGATTTGCTAAGCTATCTTTCACTGAAGATATTTAAGCAGAGACAGAGGACATCTTAATGGGTCCTGTAATTACAGAATTCCTGCGCTGGGGGTAATAGACTAGATGACCTCTAGGGTAGATGGTAACCCTAATTCTAAAATTCTACCCAGCTTCTGACATTTTTGAGCAGGCATTCCCTTGCGTGACTACCACCACCACCTTATTCTTCTTAATGGCTAATGAAAAAAGAAAAGTAAAGCAGCCATTTGCAAATTGTTGGACGTTATTTCTTACTTCACCACTCATACTTAACAGAGAATATTGACATAGGGCCGTGTTGAAGTGTGACTGACCTCGGCCATCAAGGACAAGAGATCTGCCTCCAGTCCAAAAGACCGAACTTTGTCTTCAATTTCCTGTTGCGTTTTCAGGTTACTCTCTAAAGCAAAGGAAGACTGAGTCAACTGCATAAGCTGAAACAAACGCCTAGAAACAAAAAAGTAAACCAAACAGTCAAAAACCAGCATATGACAATAGCTTAGACTTAAAGTTTCCCTTTTTTGCTTCACAGGGTCATTTCCCATCAAAGGGGTAAAAGTGTTTTCAAACTGAGCTATGGGTTTAGAAATGTATCAGCCGAGTGAATCTTTGAAATGGCTTAGATTAACATCCAAACATGGGCTGTCTTCACGTGCAAAACTATGCCGCTGAACAAACCACAATTTAGGATAGGTTGTCAATGCAACACCCCAGTTTGCACATCAGCGTCATTGTTGGGTTTCCAGAAGGCTGTGAAGACCTGGCTCCCCGCCCCCCCCCCCCCCCCCCC